GATTTCAAACAGCTTTTTGAACATTTGATCTTCTTCGAAAACTTTTATAAGTTTGAAGTGTCTAAATACATAAATCCACATAAATACATATAGCCGTTTCTGATTTCCATTTAGTTTTAAATATGTCTTTCTATGTAAATTTTTTCACCGCCTGCTGTGGGCTATTAACCCGTCAGCTAAGGAGAGGGTAAAGGCTTCATTGGCATCACACACCACATTCTTCTCCTGAAAAGATGAGTTTTTAGTCAGCTCAGAAAACGCTGCGCAAAATCCTTAAATCGAGAGATGGCTAGGTTATTCTGAACACGGATAGACCGAGGGCAGTCTAGAGAGCTTTTGAAAGTGAAAAATTGATACCTTTTGTTGCTATTGGGAGTTCCAACTGGTCCTTGTCTGATCGCAAGCTATGCGGTAAGGTTTAACATCAGCTCAGGCCTCTACTGTAGCAGCAGTTGTATGGTGACGAGGTGAAATCAACTCAACATCCGCTATTGCTTTCGAGTGATTAAGGTTTGAACGCCTTGTTTTCCACTTCTCTCTCAATTCTGTGGAGCTTTCGGGAATACATACCCAGTAGGACTTACATATATGCAACACGAAATCACATTCTTCCTATACAGAAAGTACGACCGGGAACTCTGTCACAAACACGAAGTTTTCTCCATGTCTTGTCCCTGCAAACGATTTTTTTCATTCTGAATTGTAGAGAAAAGATACGTTAAGATCTCATCCGATTTTTTGTCGAATTTTCTAAAATGAAATAAACTGTGCCCACTTCGACACGAAATTTCGGAATGAAAATCGTCAAAGCAATGAAAATAATGCTGCTATGTGAAGAATTTCTTGCAGAATTTTTTCAGAATTTTCTTTATTTTTCGTACAGAAATTTCTTTACGAGTTCGTGTCAACCACTTTATATAATTTTCTTTGAAGATTCGTTAAAGAATCGTTAAAGAAACGAGATACTCCTAAATTTTTCGTTAAGGTTTCGGGAACTTTGGTTTGTTTTGTTTTGGGTGGGCACATGAATTCAAATTAAAAGGTGAATGGGGAATGTATATGATATCATATACGCTACCGGTATACCACTAGGCAATTGCCGATATAGACCTGAATGAATAATTCACGCCATCGTTTCAGTATACTTCTTCTGTCTATGTACATATGTAAGTACAATGTGTGCGGAAACGTATTCAAATTTGTTGCGTGTGATTTTTTGCCCATATATTCATTCCATAAACTTAACGACGACGTCAGAAAAAATTAAAAAAAAGTCCGCCTGGGTACATATTAGCTTCTTTTTGGGCTTTGTTGTGAACCCGAAGAGCGCTCTTTTACCAAAAAACACTTGGGCGTCGCCGTTCAACTGCTGATATTAAACTTCATATTTATGCAGATTGTGGAGATTTGTTCTTTGGTGAAAGTGAATCTGGAAACAAGATGGTGCTTTTCCTGCCCAGCCACACTGTCTGATGGCAGCTGTTGTTGTCCTTTACCTACACAGGCAGCGGTGTGCATATTCGTAAAACATAGTCCTTGTTCCATTCGGGTGAGTTTATTAAACAAGACTTTCTTACGTGGAGGGTCCCGAATACAGTGCAGTGATATCGTGTTAAAGGAGTGGCTTGTTCCAAGTCATCAGTGGCCCTCATAAACCAACTCACAATTCCGAATTTATTCTATTTCAAGTGTTTTTTTTTTTTGTTTTTCTCTTGTCTTAACTCGGCTATGATTAGCTTTGGACCTTCAAAATCTTTTACTTGCATTATACTCAACACATCTTGCATCTTCCACAACACGACATATCGCAAATCGGCATCTATAGCTAGAGGTTTATCTGGCTGAAAAATATAGGTAGGTACGTATTTTGGGTTCGTGTGGAGTATGTACAGTCAGTCAATAAAGTTTAGGTACAGCGAATTTTTTACAATACCGGCAACTATTTTTTTAAGTATTTTATTTTTCGCTAATTTTTTTATAAAAATATGGTTAATACTACAACAAAAACCCAAAAAATCAAAGTTCCAAACCTTGTGCAAAATTAAAGAAAATTCTGCAAAATTTCATTCAAATATTGCACTTTTTATTTGCGCTCTCTAGAAAAAAGTTGAGTATGCAGTTTTTTTAGCCCATTCAATTTTGGTATAACAAAGTGCAAGTTTGAGGTAACTAGGACTTACCATTGATTTTTAGCAATTTTTTTTTGTTGATGGTGTCTCATTTTTAAACGACTTCCAAAAAAGGAGGAGGTTATCAGTTCGTCAGAATATTTTTTTTTATGTATGTTACCGCATAACTTTGGACCTCGTCAACCGATTTCGATAATTCTTTCTGCAATCGGAAAGGCAGTGTCTCAGAGGTGGTCCCATACTAATCTGGTTTAGATCCGATCATTGGATCATGAAATATATATATATATATATATATATATATATATATATATCTATGAGAATTGAAGTCGGTTTTGTTTTTTGCTTAAAAATTACTTGTCTCCAAATAATGTTTGATAATTTGTTTATATGGAAAAAATGTGCGCCGCCTTCAGCAAAAAAAGCTCCTAGCTTCCTCATATTTGCACTTTATTATACTAAAAGTGAATGGGCTGAAAAACTGCATACTCAACTTTTTTCTAGAGAGCGTAAATAAAAAGTGCAATATTTGAATGAAATTTTTCAGAAATTTCTTTAATTTTCCACAAGGTTTGGAACTCTGACTTTTTGGGGTTTTTGTCGCAGAATTAACCATATTTAAAAAAAAATTGCGAATAATAAATTATTATTTTTATAAAAAATAAGCGAAAAATAAAATATTTGTTTGGATTTTTTTTTTCAAATTATGTAGTCTCAAAACTGTCAACAACAAAATATACGTAAATTTTGTTTTTGCTCTAATGCTACTATGTACCAGTTTGATATGCCTTGGAATACCCCAAGGCGAATTTATATAAGGTGGTGTTACTATATCAGTTGATTTTGTTTATGCGTTTCGCCTCACCGCTTCGAATGTAAAATTGAAAAATTTTGTTTGAATTTCCACACACACTCTTACAGGTTTTGACAGTTTATGCCGCCAAAGCAAAAATAAAATACATGTAAATTTTTGTTTTGTATCATTATATTAATTCCCCTTGGAATACGCCTACAATTTATTTAGTTACTACACAAAAACTATGTAATATTTGATTAATCGATTTTTGGTAAGTCGAAAGTAAAAACGCGTCATTGATGAAGGACTTGAAACCCGCTATTAAAAAAAATCCAATAAGAACAATCTTCGTTTCCACATCGTATTTGGCATTACCCAACACTGGCGCTTGTGGAACGATTACCAAACCCAAATCAACTTCGCCGCAGCTAAAGTAACCGAATAAAACAGGAAATCAAACTACCACAAGGGTCATAGAACTGCTGAAGAATACGGTTACTAACCAACACAGTGCGCACAACTGAGTGTGGATTACACAAAGAGCGCCAGTGCCAATAGGGGTTGAGGGTTGAATTGCTCATCGCAAACAGGGGTTGCGCACTTACAATACACAATACATGAGCCGTGTGTGAAGCGAATACCGATGACGTTGAAGCGACATTAGCGACAAACCAGCCACCACAAAGAGAGGGGCGCGAGTATTGTGGAAGAAACTTCTCATAGGTGTGCGTGTCTACAAATACAAAATTTAGTGCCGAATACTACATATACATACATACATACATATGTATATACAGGAAAGAAAGGTAGCCGAAAAGTCGACAGGGAGCAAAACTAACTGCTTTCTCGAAACAGCAGCGAACAGTTGAACAGCAGCACTCAGAGCGTACGGATCAGTCACCGGCTTGGGCGAAAGCGGCACACACACAACTTCTCACGTACTTCAGCAAATTTTCTTCTCCACTACACCTCATTCCATTCGGTTGTTCAGTGTACGGGTTCAGCACGGGTTGGTTCGCTTAATTCAGTTTCAGCCTTTTGTGGGTTCTGGTGGATTTTTTTCACACTTCTCTTGTTATACCGACAAAAGTGGCGTAAAGTGTTGGCAGCACCAGCTACTAAATAAAACATACAGTTACAAATCGCATCAGCACCTCGTCAAATCGTTTAATCACAAAATGGCCGAAAATTGTCCAAAGTGCAAAAAATCGATTACCAAGGAGGGCATTGTCATTTGCAATTCGGATGATTGCATGAAAAAGTTTCACCGGGCCTGTGTGAACATCGATGACGCAGTCTACGATGCGATCCAGAAGAATCCGTTGATTTCATTCAATTGCGAAGAATGTAAAAATCAATCGCCCAAGGCGCTGGCCGCCAAGCTGCAGACCATGGAGGAAAAACTGAATAAAGTCTACAATGGTGTGAATCAGATTTCGACACGTATGTATCAGCAGTATTTCCAATTCGGCAACGCGAACAACGTCGACCCGAAGAAGCAAACCAACAACCTTATCGTGGTTGGCAACAACTGCAATTCCGATCGTCTGCAAGTTGTCTGCGACTATGGGCGTTGGGTGCAGGTGGGCAAATTTGCCACCTCCACCAGCGAGGACGACATCATCGAGCACTTGGCCGAGGAGTTGAAGATCAACAAGAACCTGGTCAAGTGCACTAAGCTGGTTAAGAACGATGCGAATTTGTCGCAATTGTCGTATTGCAAATTCAAGATATCCATACCGGATTATCGTTTCAATGAGTTGTTCAACGAAAATATTTGGCCCAGCGGTGTTATGGTCAGCCCATTCACACCACGTTCGCAGTTGAATCAGAACCGTATATAAGGCAAAGCCATTGAAGGGCGGGTGGATGACGGCGCTAATCGCAGGCGTATAAATAATAAGAAGAAGAAGCGGAAAAGAACAAAGGAGGACGGAGATGAGAATGAGGAGGGCGATGACGAACGGCAACCGGAGCCGAGGCAACAACGCGAACGCAAGCCGGCTGAGAAAGCAATAGCAACAGCAACCACAACTGCGACTGCGACTGCGGGAGCAGCGGCAGCGGCAGCGACAATGACACACGATAAGCATTCGACGACGGCAGGGGGCGCAGCTGCTGAGGCGAGAGGAGAGCAGGTGTTGAACAAAAAGGAAAATAATTCGGTTGGTAAGCAAGTGGAAGCAGAGGAAATACGGGCAATAAATGAAAAAACAGAAACCGGGAATGAAAAGGAAGAAGAAAAAGCAGCAGTAGCAGTAGCAGTAGCAGCAGCGGTGCCGGAAAATGAAACGAATGATGAAACGGATGCCGATGGGGAAGAGTACGAGGACGAAGAAGAGGAGGAAGAAGAAGAAGAAGAAGCAGAAGACGAGGAAGTCGAATCGAATGTGAACGCAAGCGAGATGACAGCTGTTAGCAAGGCAGCCGGCGATTAGCGAGCGTAAGGAACGTGTGTACGATAGAGACAAGTCCTTCGCTTTTCCGCAGGGGGTTGTATGAGTGGGTGGGGGTAGCGATAGCGTATTTAAATGGCAAGGGGGGTATGAAACGTAAGAGGTGGCGATTAAATGGCGGCGTACAGAAGAAAAATGAAAACGAAAAAAATGTGTACGGTTTTGAGGAGAAAAAATATTTAATGAAAATTTTTATATTTTCCAACGCGAATTAAGCTGTGCCACGAACACCGGCATTGCTTGAAATTTTGATTTCTAAATCTTTCAGACACTTTGATGTCTGTCTTTTATTAAAGTGAATCGTGCAAATTGTATCGATCCAATTCCATTTAATGAAAAATAAATAGAGTTTTTAGTGCATGAAAATGCCGATAAACCATTTGAAGACAACTTTAAAATGCATTTCAAGTATTTTAGAATTGAAATTGAAAAACAAAATTTAAATATGTATGACGATTTACATACAAACATATAAAAAAAAGTCTTGATGCAAAAGCAAATAATTATGCAAAACAATTGAATGAAGAATGAATTATCTAGTAATTTAAAATGAATATTTGTCGTACTTACACACTTAACAAGCAAACCCCAAAAAAAAAAACGCATATATATTTAAAACATTTAAGAAACGTACGTAACCAAACGATACCGTAAAAGAGAAACGACGAAAAATATCTAAACAAAAATTAAGTATCTAATTGAAAGTAATATTCCCTTAACATTTAATAATCTACACACAGGTGAAGCAAAAAAAAAAGCAAACCGACAAAAATATTTACTATGTACGATTAGCGCAACTGTAACACATTCCAAAGAAGCATATGTAGTACCAATATTTGATTGTTTATTTTAATTTAATTTGTAGTCTTTTTTGTAATAGTAAGTAACCGTTTAAAAATTCTCTCAATATTTCTTGCTGAATTTTGTTAAATTTGTGTTTTTTTTTTGTCAAATGAGGAATATATTTTAGTCTATGAATTGAAAGTTAAAAAAAAAAAATAAATTTTGAAATTAATGTAAATTTTAACATTCTCAACTTTTTAACAAAAAAAATTTTTATCATACCGTTATCTGCGAGCATTTGTTACTTAACTTTTTTACTTTTCCGAACGCAAATCGATTTTAAACAATTTCCCCCCTATTAAATAAATATAAATTTTTTATATATATTAAAACTTTAATTCTAAAAATATACACTTATGTACTTAAATACTTATTCAAACACACAGTAAACTACCATTTAAATGGGCATTGCTACATTTTTTAGCGGTGCAAAATTTTCAAAACTTAGCAGCAAGGAAAGCAGTTTTATAGCAAAAACAACAAATAGAGCAAAAGTGCTTAAGTGCAAATGTGAAAAATGCAAATATATGCAAAGTGTTTACTTACATGTGGAACTTCAAAATATTGCAAGTAAATGCATACCTACCACGTACTTACATACAACTTATTCAATTTCAAGCAAACCAAACAAAAACTTTAATAAAAAAGTATTAACAAAAAAAAACAAAACAAAAACAAAAACGATTAATTGCTAAATGGTCATACATACCTAGTATTTACCTACAAACATACATACACATACTACACACATATGTACATTAAATATGAAAAATTGTACTTGTAGTTTTTTGATGCATTTCTCAAAGCTTGTCGAAGAAATTTTAGAAAATTTTGAAATCATGATATGAAATTAATGTATGTACATACACATATGTAAAACAACAATAATAAAAAATCAATGAGCACCGCAATTTTTTGCATAAATGCTTCCATTTCGGAATGCATTGCGATTTTTTCCCAAAAATAAAATGCAAATTGTCGGTATTTTATATCATTTTAACAAAATGTGTGCAACAGCAAATGGAGCGTGGAATAGCGTGAACTATTTAATTATATGTGTGCTGGTACAACAGATATCTGTGGCATTTCGATAAAACAACTAATCTGGAGTTAGGCCACTTTCGCTTTAAACCAATAATTATTTGAGTTCCCAAACAATATTTTAACGATTAACTAGGCATAAGTGTAGTTTAAGAAGCCCTTTTAATAGAAGTTTATAAAAAATATGAAACTTTTTAAGGCCGTCAAGTAGGTTTTAAAAATTATCAGCGCTTTAAATACAAATTTTGTTTCTAAAAAAAATGTACTTGAAGGGCAGATAAATTTTAAACCCTACTTGAGGAAACGGCATTTAAAGGCAAACTTCATTTTTAATTCAAAATTCTTTTGTAGTTCTAAAGTCACTTAGGTTGTTTCATCAAAATGCCACAGATACATATCGAGCCCTAACAGCCAAAATAAGGTAAGCGATATTTTTTTCAAAATTTTCTTTTTGATGTAAAAACATTCCTAGAGCATCTAGATGCATTTCTGGATCAAAATAAAAATTTTGAAAAAAATGTCACTTACGTTATTTTTGCGGTTAAGGCTCGAGATATGTACTCATGCAATTGCACTATAGCAAGAACTGAAGTGTTCACGCAAATATACTGCGTAAATACATACTTACATATGTACCCAGCCAGCAGAGAAACGAACGTTTTGCCGAGTGTGCGGTTTTATACATTTGTAGTATCCGGAAACGTAGGGAAAACGTTTGAAATTTTCATAAATTTTTCCTAACCGAACATTTGAAAAATTCGCTTCTAGTTAAGTGTATGCTACTATTTGTTAGCTTCCAGGAAGTTCGGGGTTCGAATGCCGTCAGACGCAATAAAATGTTTCGTTCTTTTTTTTTTTGGTTTTCTTTTTTCCGAACTATGAAAAAGCATCTGTGTAGTGCAGAAGGAAAGCGTATTCAACAAAAAATTCAATCAGAAAATTTTCAGAAAAAACATCCGAACATTCGGTATTTTTCTAGACGGCCGCACACTTTAGTGGAAAAACGGATCGTCAAAGTATCCGAAAAGGGAATCGGTAATTGAAAAAAATCCGCATTTCATCCACTTTTCTGATTCCTTTTAGGGATTTTTTGCTGGCTGGGTATACACACGTACATATGTATGTAGATGTATGCAGCAGTTGGCTCTGGGAAAGAAGCGAATGTTTTGTAAAAGTAGACTTTTTATAGTCCCAAATATGTATTCGCAATTCTGCAATGAAGTTCATTTTTTAGTAAAACAAAAAAAAAATAAAAAATTTACAAAAAAAATAATGGTAGTTATTTATTCAAAGTGTATTTAGTATACAATATGCATGCATGTATTTATGTCGAATTTTTAAATAAATTCAGAAAAATATAAAAAAGTTGGTTTTAATGATTAAACAAAAATTAAATACCGTTAGCTTAGAGTGAAACGTTTTTGTGAGAATCCATATTTTGATAAGTCAAGGAAGAGAAATAAAAAATGCATCTTAATTCGTTTGTCGTTTTGCTTTGTTTAAAGATAAACATAAAAAAAAAATGAGCTTGGCAACTTTTTATTCTAAGCAGGCGATGTGGAAGAGTTTTTTTTTAATATTCCTGCGACCCAAACCCATCCCAACGGAACACATTCCGCAGCTCTTTAGTGGTCTCTAGATTGTTTCCATGAGAAATCAAGAAAGAGTTCTACTTTTTACAGCAACACTCATGTATAGGGAAGGATATTATCTTCAATAATGTCATAGATTCATAGCCCCGGCCGCTTCTGTGGTATATCCTAGAGCTTTGCCAGTCGAAAAAAGTTCGATAACCTAAATCAAATTTTGAATCGAATATAATACAATTTGAATTGACGAAACCAACTCGTCATCGTTTGACGTAACCTCAAAAAACATACATATGTAGCTTCGAACTTGCCACAATTCTGGCATGGAGAGGAAATTCCAACATAGCTAGATTAAAGAGGGCGATATCAAAAAAAATCGAAGCGGAAATCGACGTCTAAGGGGAGAGGAAGAACGACCTATCCATCCAGGTAGCCGGTTCGAAAACGCCAACGCCCTATCTCAACTGATAACATATTGAAAATACATACATACATATGTTGATATAGGGCATTTTTGAAACGAAGTCTAAATAGAGCGTTCTTTCAAAGAATCAAATCAAATTCTGAGGTAGGAAGTTCTTGAAAAATTTTCTGTGATAACGCATTTTCAAGCCGGCTGCCGAAATATGTAGATCAATCTTCCACTCAGCCATTGAAATACAATCAATGAGAGCATTAGCTTGGATTCAAGAACTACCATAGCTACGGTGAAACAGTCACTCAGAAAGCTTTAACTTTTTATATGCATGTACTTGCATTACGGTGGTAATGTGCACATGACCCTGGAAGTAGTTCTACACTTAGCTATAGAACAGGCGGCAAAACGAACTCTACTTAATTTCGCTAGAGATGGCTTTAACTGTGTAAAGATCACATAATGCACGATTATTGAGAAATTAGGCACCCATCTTCCGCTAACATTGCTTCCCAGAGACGATATATTTCGTATGATAGCACTTGAGAAGAGAAGAATATAGTAAGACTCCCCAAGATGAGTGTACCTTGCACCTGTACATAGGAGCAGACGTTTATGGCCTCACCTAAGCAGGATTTATGACAATGGCGAATTGTAATTCGCAGTTTTAGCGGGGCGGATTTGTGGTTGGGCGGAGACTCCGACACCTTCTCTCCCCGTTCGCGCCCATCAGTGAGCGAATCGCCACCATCCGCATAAAGGCGAAATTTAATAGCATCAGCCTATTTCGAGTGCACGCCCCGACGCAAGAGAAGGGCGGAAGGGAAGAGACTAAGGAGTTTTTCTATGAGTGCCTAGGAGTAGCGTATGAGCGCTTCCCCCACCACGATATTAAAATCGTACTTGGCAACTTTAACGCCAGGGTGGGCAAAGAAGGCATATTTGGTCCAACAGTCCGAAAATTCAGCGTTCATGACAACACCTCCGACAACGGAAAGAGGCTGATCGACTTTGCCGCTGCACGGAATATGGTAGTCAGTAGTACCAGACACCAGCATCGAAACATCCATAAAGCAACTTGGGTTTCCCCTGAT